ACAAGTGTTAAATATTTATAACAACTAACTTTAATAATTTTCAATTATATTTTTATTCCTTTCTAATGCCTAAGACATTGTTTTCATTTATTTAATTTACTTTTCACAATTTTCTTGATAACAAATGCTATGCTCTAATATTTGGAAGCAGAAAACCAACATTGGTGGATGAATAAGAGATCTATCTAATCTGCAGATAACGCAAAATTAAGTGAAATAGCTAATACCTCAGAAGACAATAGATAAAATCAAAATGATCTTGGCAATAACAATTGATAGAAACCAAGCATAAGCTAGCAGTATGATGTGGAAATACAATTATAGACAGTTTCAAAACAAGTATTGTTGTCAAATAATGTATAGAAATCAGTCCACTTTATCCTGTTTCAATTTCAGTTGTTTATTGTATCATAGACCAGCAGAGTCCTCCATGAACATGTGTGTGTTGTATTTCTATTTTAGTAGATGATAAAAAACTTTAAGACAGAATTAAAATACATATATAAAACAACCTAACATCTGTGAGATTCATAATGCAGCCTACATTTAAGTATAATGTAAGCACTAGAATTATATTAAATATGATAACATCTAAAATTACAACGAAGTGGTAATGTCTAAAATATAAATAATATAGTTACACAGAGTGAATTGCAGAAGATTAGTCCATCAGGGTTCAATGGATCTTCCATGCTGCTGCACAAGACTTACCTATATGAACTCTAGCAAAAAGTAATTCATTTATGACAAGCATCTGGGCATAGGCTGAATCTGGGCGACCAGAATATCTACTAATTAGAGGTAGGAATCTACCACTAATATTTTCCCTAGATCTGCTTGCCACTCTGTATCTTCTGTCCCTTACTTCAGGGTTTGTTTTGCCTGATCTTATTCTGCTTGAGAACTGAAGAAATAGTCTACATTTAAAAGATTAGATTCAAAAGCCTTGATCCATGTGGACTGAAAATTGTCCTTAAAAATTAATGATAGAAATTAAGCTTCAAAAGCTTATAGAATCTAGACATACTCGACTCAACTTTTATCATACCTATCTCCAGTTGCATTTGAGACCCAGAGAAGTATCTGGAGAGCTGCTGTAATTAATTTAGATTGTATTCTCTTCCAAGGAGGTAAAACAAGAAGCAGGAGGGCCAACCAGAGTCCCATAGAGAAACTGGGCTAGTAGCTTAGTCCAAAAATGTTTAAATATGGCTGGAACATAATATCCTCCCCTTGGATCATAAATGTTTGAGGGTTGCATTGGAAGATCTTTGTCCAGTAGCAGCAGCATATACACAGTGGGCTTTCCTTGATCCAGTGGCATGCATGACTATCCTAAATACTTAAAGCAAGTCACTTGTTCTATTTCACTGTCATTAATGCTCCAGAGACGGAGCTTCGGCCTTTTGGCAAAAGCCATACTTTTGGTTTTCTGATTTATCATTTTTGCAGTACAGATCAAACTTCTCAGAGCTCTTTTAAGACATACTGGTGTTCTGGAACGAATTATACCCTAATTCTTTGCTGCAATCCCTGATTTGGCAGGATGGAAGTTTAGACATCTCACATACCATTGATATAAACTTTGAAAAGTGGGGAGATAGAGATGAATGTGCTTAGCCATAGAAAATAAGAGAAAATATGATGAACAAAGAAGCTCATCTAGAAGAGCAAGACTAGCTTGCTATGATACCCGAGTAACAGATGTGGAATAATGTATAAATTACACAAAAGCAAAATTCCAACAGAACATTAGGGAAAAAAACTTCCTTACTGTAAGTCAATGGTATGCTTTCCTTCACTGGATCTATTCAAGCAGCTATTTGCTGGAGATCCTTTACTTTGAATTCTTGCACTCAGCAGAGAACTCAATGTCCAAATGATCCCTTCCAACTCTAAAATCTTATGCACAGTTAGTTTAGAATAAGCTCCACTGAGCACAGTGATGTTTTTAGAAAATATGCACAGGCTCATGTTTCTTTAGAGCAATTGTAAGAAATACAGTATCCACCAAGTAACTATCTTTCTTTGTTAAATAGAAAATAGAAAACTAAATCAGATTCTGCACATTTACTGTGGTGCATGTGACTTAGATAATTTCTACACTAATACTGCCTTCTAGAATCATCAAACCATTGTTGTGTCAAAATATATGCAGACTTTTCATTATTTCAGGAATATATTAGAGCTATGCCACCCTGATTTAAGGTTTCAGTGTTCCAGACTACTACTTTAAGAACTTAAAATTAATTACTCAGTATAACAGGCATAGGACAGATGTAGCATAATCAAAGTATCCGGCCCCCGCAAATTACCAATGGATTTCAAAACAATGTCTAAAGCATTGTGGTAACCTGACTGGATGTAAGGAGGCCTTGTCCACTTTTTCCAGATGTAGACTAGAAGTATGTAAAGCCTGAACTTAATATGTCATTGATTATGGCCTAAATATTAATTCAAAGAAACTAGATTAATCCTGAAAAAATATTAACAATGAAATGCTAGATAGGTACTTGAATTAAAAAAATAAAGCCCTCTTCAAATTAACCTGATAAGAAAATTACTTGCTACTGACTTTTTTTCAACTTCCCTGTTAGCCTAATTCCAGAACTATAGGGAGATCAGGAAGTTGAAAATCATGCAGAATAAGACAATGGTAATCCACTTCCAGATTATTGCCAAGAAAACTACACTGAACAAGGCATAACAGTTATTTAGTATTATAATTAGTTATTACTTTTCCAACAATAGGTAACAGAAATAACTTACAAAACGTTTTACAGTTTCTATCACCAAATCACTTATCTCAGTTGTCTGGAATAGTCCTACTGCCCGCCCCCCCTTACAGTATTTTATGAAGAGTTTCTTTAGTAACTTCATTTACACAGTAATCTGTATATTTAACAAGCTCAACAAGTTACAAAACTACAAGTGAGTTTCCAATAGCCAAAAGGCAAAGAACGAACAGTTTCAGATTATTAAATATTATATTTTTGTTATCTTGAAATTCAGACTTAAAGTGACTATTCTGGTGATCTAGATCAGGGGTAGGCAACCTTGGCTCTTTTATGACTCGTGGACTTCAACTCCCAGAATTCCTGAGCCAGCATAGCTAGAACATGAAGAGATGGGTATACTCAGATGAATGGCTCCTTACACTGACAATCAAAATACACTATGTAACTATTCTGATTTTTTTCCCTGGTAATAAAAATTAAAAGAATGGAAAAACTTCAGAGCAATTACAAATGAGCAATTTTGCCCTGCAAAATTATGAGTATGGGGCAAAAAGGCAGCAAAATAAAAGCTTCTCTGGGACCACCCCTAATTAATTCTATTGCAATAAACTAGAGTCCTCAAACTAGATATTCTGGAAATGCATTGAACAATAATCCAATCAACAAGAATAGGAGTTATGCATGTTGTCTTCCAATAAATTTCAAAGAAACAAGTTGAGGAAGGCTGTAATAGCCTATCACAACTTTGATGATTCCGGGTGTTTTTTTATCACTAAACACCAGTAAATTCACTAAGTATTACGTACACGGGCCTAGAATTATATCTCTTGTGTCTTGTATGGTTTTGGGTGCTTCCAGACAAGATTTTTTTCATAATTTAAATTGCTTAGTTTGCCAGATTTTGGAGAGGAGTGGGCAGATGACTGGAGAAGGATCAGAAGACGGGATGGGTACCTATTCTTTGGGACCAGTGGAAGATATCTGGAGGCATCCTTTGTCTTCTTACTGTTCCCTAATATTGACATATCACTCCCTCTTTCCAGCCTTACTTCATTTAAAATGTTTCAGATGGTGTTTACAAGTAAGGCTTTGATTTGCAATCACCCTGCCTCAAACAGAGAACTCCTAAGTGTTCATGGGGAAATTTTAAAGGCTTCAACAGGGAAGGTTTCTAGCTCTGCCAATTAAAATATATTGTAGACTTTTTAAAAAAAGTCTTAATTAAATCCCCCCCCCAAAAAAGAAAAATAAACAAGTAGCGGAGAAACACGGGAAGGTTGCAAACGAAAGATTATGACATCTGAACCTTCTGTAAAATATTGGGAACAATGCAAGGATTGTGCGAAAACCTTATCCTTCCACTCGTAACCATTCCTGTTCTCACGGCTTCCTCTGACCCCTTTTTTTTTTCTTCTCTCCTTCCCTCAAGGGGGCTTTTCCCACGGAATTGCATCTCCAATACTACAAATCAACGACCATTGTGCAGCAACAACTCTTCTTTCTTAACTGGGGGAAAAAAACGATCAAAGACGACACAAGGGTCTGAAGCTGGAAAACATCGGGTGAGCCATAGCTGCATAACTAAGCCTTGTTAAGAAGCAACGAGGCAGAATAGCTTGGCTGTGCAGTATCTTTCGACTGGAAGCGTCAGGCGCCCTCCGTCTTGGAAGCCCCTCAACAATTGTGGAGTAAAAGCAGGAACGTCTGGGGAGAGAGAAAGCAGCGAACAGCGGCCCTTGCAGGCGGATTAGCAACGGGGCTTGGGCAGCGGCGTCGGGATGGGAAGAAGCGGCTGAAAGCGACTAGCTAGAAAGCAGTGTTTCTCAACCTTGACAATTTTAAGGCATGTGGACTTCAACTCCCAGAATTCCACAGCCAGCAATGCTGGCTGTGGAATTCTGGGAGTTGAAGTCCACATGCCTTAAAATTGTCAAGGTTGAGAAACACTGAGCTAGAGGGGCTAGGAAAACGGGCCTTTTCCACGGGCTACTTTGAAGAGGGGAAAAAAAGACCCAACTTAGTCCGTGGAAAGGGCGGCGCTACCAAACGCTCGGGAGCCGGGCGATACCTAACTAGGCGGCGGCCCCGTCCTCTCCCCAAAATGGGAGGAGTGGAAGCGGCCGCGCTAGACTAGAGGCTCATCATGTCTGCGTTGCGGGGGGGGGGGGGAAGCGCCTAGTAAAGACTGCCCGGGGTTCTTTGGCGGGAAATTGCCCAGGCGAAGAAGAAGAAGAACGGAAAGCGCGGCAGTTAAGAAGGTACCTTTTCGCCGGTCACGACGTGCAACCCTTCTCGCACTTTGGCGAAGGAGCCTTCTCCCAACTTCCGGCCGATCAGGTAGCTGCCCACCCGCTTGGTGTGCTGGAATTCTCGGATGCGCTCCCGGGAGGCCGAAGCGTTGACCCAGGCGGCCAGGAAGGTCCCCTCCGGACTGAGAGGAGGCGTCGTGGGCTCGTCGTCGTCGCATCCGAAGCTCGCCGCCGTGGGCTCGCTCAAAAGCCCGTCGCCAGCAGCGGCCGGCATCCTGCTCTTGCTGCAACCGCCGCGTCCCGGAGCGAAAGCACGGGCTGCGTCTCTCCTCCTCGGCCCCCTTTCCCGCAACTTGCACCCCTCGGCTAAACAACGGCGGCGGCGGCACCGAGGAACTCCTCTGCAAAGCCGCCGCTCTCCGCTGCGGTTGCTGCTGCTGCTTCAAGTCTGCAGCACCCGCTCGCCAATGTGACCAGCACCTGGGAGTCCACGTGGGGAGTTGCACGACGGACTGGAGCGCTTCGCTTCTTAGTCAAAATAAAATAAGGGCATGCCGAAAAAGAGGCGCCGGGGGTGGGGGAAGAAGCAAGGAATGGATTTCTCCGGGCGGCCAGCCTGGCTTTGTGGAGATTTCCAGGGTAGCTGCGGCTAGCGCGAAGCTCCGGGGCTCAGCTAGGGCGAGCAGCAGCACAAGCTACAACGCTAAGGCTTCTCCTCCTCACGTTGAAGAGGGAACCCGAGCCAGCTCCCGCAGATCAATTGTCTCCAGCCTCCTTGGAAGCCAGTTGGCTGCCGTTTCCTCGTTGGATCTGTCGATCACTTGTCCCCTCCCTCTCGTATCGTGCCTGGCTAAGCTAGACTGCCTCGCTCTCTTCCCCAGCGCCGCTGCTTGGGGCTCCTTTCCCCTCCAGCTGGTGAGGAGGGAGGGAGGGGGATCGGGGAGCAAAGACCTCATTCAGGCCGAATTTACCGTAATGCAACCCGATCGCTCGGTTAGGGACATATGCAGTGAAAGAAATAATGAAAATCGACAACGACCGAGATCTTGAAGTTCGGGTGACTCTTCCCCCGTTATTCCCTGCCGTTCCCCCCCCCCCTTTCTCCCGCTTTATTTAGTGCAGTTTGTCTCCGGTACGAAAGCCAAGCCACATCCCGAGGACGCTCGTTTCTAGAGAACGTTAACACGCGTTACCTTAAATGCACGCAGATGCTGCGTATTTCTATAATTAGGACACTCGAGCCGTATCCTAGGCTCTTTGCGTGTCTCTTTCCTGAGCAAAGCGTTTATTTGTCTCAAGATCTTTTCTTCTTACCCCGACAATGTTGTTACGCTGCTTCCCCCCCCCCTTTTTTTTTTTTTGCACCTTTTGTGCTCAAAAGCACTTCACTTTGTTTTCACTGTTTTTTTTTCTGCCGGTGAAATGAGCTTCTGAGCTCAGATCGTGACAGCTCTGCCAATACAAGTATAACGCTCCCTACCTCCCTTTTCTGTGGATAAAGATTTGAAGGCTGAAATGGCAGTTTCCCCTAGCAGCTGAAAGAAAAGCTCCACCTTTTCTTATACATTATTTTGATTTGGAGCACTTGTCTCCCTTATCAACATCTTGTTTTATCTTAAACCTAGTTTAATAACTTGCTAATATAGCGAGTATAGCATTCTAGAGTACTCTGTTCGATCATACTTCTGTACAAATAAAAATGGAGACTTTGAATAAATGTGGAACTCTCAGAACAATTTAATATCAGACAAAAAAAAAATACAGAACATCTGTGGATCCAAGTTCAGTTATCATAAAGACTGAATGAAAAACATTACAGTTGCCACATAAAGATTGCTCCAAATACTTTCACATGTGGTAACTCTGCTATGAGGGCTTGTAAACATTTTTTTTCAGCATAAGCCAAACCAGAAAAAAGAAGGCCTTTTGGGAGTTAGCAAGTGTAGAAATATGAAAAAGCTACCATATGGCCTTTGGTAAAGAAACTAAAATAAGGAAATTAATCAGCTGAAAAGAAAGAGTGATTATCTATATTTCAATTGGGAGTCCATTCTGGGTATGGAAACATTCAAGATTGTTCAGTACTGACTGGTGAAAGAATGTATAATAACTATATTTTTTCTTCTGTTCCAATAGTTGGCCATTCTTTTCATGGCCTTGGAAAGCTGCTGAACTATGTTTATATAGCAGTCTTTTTTTTTTTTTTTTGAGCCTGAGAACTGTTTTTTTGCCAGATTCCTGTTTTGGTCCACCTCTTTTTCCACTGACCTATTCCCTTTCTCATTGTGCTCCTCCCACTCCCTCCTTCTAGCACAGTGGTTCTCAACCTGTGGGTCGGGACCCCATTTGGGGTCAATCGACCATTTCATGGGGGTCGCCAAGCAAGGCTGTCCGCCATTTTTTTTGTCCGCCATTTTTTCCCCTTTTCCTGCGGGTGCCTTACCTCCCTTGGGCTGGGCCAGCTGGTGGTCGGCCTGCTCCGTCTCTGCCGCTTGCCAGCTACGCCTCGGCCGGCGCAGGGGGCGGAACCACGCATGTGCGGCGCTCCCAGGCAGGGAAAGTCCTTGATGTACGACCGGTTGGGTAGTCCTCGACTTACGACCGGTTTAGTCCTCGACTTACGATCGGTTTAGTCCTCGACTTACGACCGGTTGGGGTCGCGGCATTAAAAAGGTTGAGAACCACTGTTCTAGCAGGGCTGCTGAAGAACATTAGGCCCATTTATCAATTTCCATTTGGGGGGGGCTGGACCTACTGAGATCTACAGATTCAACCTTTGGGCAAAACTTCCTGTTTTTAAGCAAATTATTATTATTATTATTATATTTGGATTTATATCCCGCCCTTCTCCTCGCGGACTCAGGGCGGCTGACAATCAATTAAAATACATAAATAACAATTACAAATTTAAAATTAATTAAAAGAAATATTTGAACATTGTCCAATTAAAATATAATTAAAACCCCTCTAAAAATTACCCTAGGCCAGTCCTGCAAGCTGGA